TTATTTGTTAGTAACAATCTTACAAGCTAAGTTAGTAGAAACAAGAAGAGCAATTACAATTACATTTTTATTATAAATACATTATTATAAGTTCACGTGCAACTCGGTGAACCTACGCAAAACTGCAGAGTCCATTCTTCCTGATATCATCTTTAGGATACCATTGGTGCTCCCACGCAATCGCAAACATCTGTGACGCACTTTTTTTGCGCATGATTGCGTAAAACTCACCAACACATGCATCCGCAAATATGCCAGAGGCGCTGCAAAAGCGAGGAAGCCTCAACAGAACCCAAAAGATGTTATTGTACGTTACACGTAAGGCGTTATACGCTCGCTGTGTGAAATTGGTCCACAGCGCACCTGTATAAAAATTCTGGCAGTAAGCTCTGAAGAGTTATTTTTACATTTACAGAGCACATTGGAAACCTCTGTGCCAACATGTTACCGCGTACCGACAACGCCCTGCGCTCCCTCTGAACATCATAATCATCTCCAAGATTTTCACTAATAATGTGTCCTAGGTACTTAAACCGAGCGACACGAGTCAAGGGTACACCATTTAGAAGAAGCGGTGGAATATTATTTAGGTCTTTATCCGCTCACGCGATGCGCTCATCCTACCGCAAAATGGCGGCTATTTGGTTTCGCAAATTAGAGAAGGATTCAGTTTAAATACAAGTTTTTAAAAATAAAAAATATTATTCTGCATTGCTAAATAAATACCCTCCGTACTACAACAAAAACATCTCAAATAAAATGCAGTAATACACCGCAAATCCTGCACTTAAAAAGCACTAATGAAATTTTTGGTGTACTTGGGTAAATATGATAATATTCCGTTTGAGTGGTTCTAACGTTTACCATGAAATTACTCCTTAAAGTATAGTTTATAAACATTTATATTCAGGGTAAACTTAAAAAACGCTTACTTACGGCATCTTTTCAATAAATAAACACCGAAATCACCAGCCCAAACAATAACACACACGATTGTCGTGACGTATTTTTGAAGTTGTTTATTTTTTTAAATGACAGATCCAGGCATTAAAAACTTCATGGTTTGCTAGAGTAGTTACCGAAATAGCAATTAATATTAGTTCTTTTACCTGTTATAACTTCGATATCCGATAAATCGGTATAAAATCATCACCGGCACTCTAGGTGTGGTATGCGTCTACGGCTGCATGTATCGCGTGAGCGGTTATATTTAAAAACAAGAAACTCACTCTTCTTTTCATTGTACCTTATCCATGGCTCACGGCATAACTTTCACACACATTCAGTATCCTTCTCACACCACTGATCGATGGGCTCAGCAGCACCATGTCGTCAGCATAACTGACATTATTAATACTAACATTGTCTATTCGACAGTCAATATTTGTGCTCCTATCTCACCGATCAGCTGATTCACATATATGTTGAAAAGTCTAGAAGAACTCAGTCCACCCTGACTCACACCACATTTAAGCGTGTATTCGCTAGAAAAGGAATTCGCCCATTTAACAACATTTTTCTGACCGTTATTATACCAATGTGACAGCAAGCCTACAACCTCAAGAGAGACGGCAATGTTTATTAATTTAGGCCAGAGTATGTTATATGACACCAAATCAAATGCTCTTGATAAGTCTAAGAAGCACGTGTACATATATAGGTGTCTTCCTCTTTAAGCCTACAGTGTATTTTAATGCCAGTATAGCACTTTCTGTTGACATACCGTCCCGAAAACCAAACTGAGCGTTTTCCAAGTTTATATAGCTGCTAAGGTGATTAGCAACTATCTTATCTAAGACTTTTGCTATCACAGTTGCTAAGGAAATAGGTCTGTAGTTGCCTTTATCTGCAATATCACGTGTACGGTTTTTAACCAGAGGTATTACAACAGTTTTCATTAGGTCCGGAGGTAAGTATGTGTGTCTCAGACAGCAAGTGAATAACATAGACAAAAGTCTATATACACACATCAAAAAAAGTTTGCGATCACTTCGAAAAACTGAAATCTTTTTTGTTACTGTAGATTATATTATGATTTTTTCTTCTTTTTAGATTCTTTATTTAAAAATAAATTAGAACATAAAACAATGACCCCGTTCAATTGTTTTTTCATATAAAAAGGCTTTCAGTCCTAGCTTACGCTCATTCAGAAATCTGATTTAGTCAATTATAAGCGATTCAAGATATTTTTCGCGGAAAGTTGTGATTGAAAAAATGCCAAGAGGATTATCAGAGGTTTTACGAGCTAGAATAGTAACTTTGAGGGAAGAAGGATACACCACGAGAGTAATAGCACGCAGACTTGCTATATCCCAATCCTGTGTCGTGGCTACGTTGCAGAGGTATCACGGAATGGGGAATTTAGCTGACCGACCCCGCAGTGGTCGCCCAACTGTTTTGACAGCTGCCCAAAAGCTCTATATTAGATTGCTGGCAGCCCGTGATCCAACAATCAACGCCACTAAAATAAAAGCAGAAGTCAGGGCCGCCTCTGGGCTTGAAGTTAGCACGCAGACCGTTCGCAATTGCTTGCACCAGGCTGGATTACGAGCACGGAGGTCTTGGCGAGCTCCGCTCAATTCCCGGCAACGTCAACAACGAAGATTGCAGTGGGCTAGACTTCGGCAAAATGAAGAAGGTGAGGACGAAAACATTTGGCAAAACTGTCTCTTCGTTGACGAATCCCGAATCAGCACTCATCCAGATAACCGACGTGTCCGTGTCTGGAGAAGACCAGGCGACCGTGAAAGACAAAGAACTGCCACTGGAACAGTTCAGCAAGGCGGAAAATCGGTGTCCTTTTGGGGTGGCATTATGATTGGAGCTAGAACGCCTTTGATCCCGTATCGGGGCTTCATGACAGCAGACATGTACAAAGCAGTTGCTATTGATGATATCGTTAGACCATTCCGAGTAAACCATGGGCACCAATTTGTACTGGTCGATGATAATGCGCCCGCACATCGAGCTCAACGAGTCAATGCTGCTCTTCAAGAATACGATATCACACGATTAGACTGGCCTGCCGGCTCGCCCTACTTAAACCCAATAGAGCACGCGTGGGATGCTCTTAAACGAGCAGTATGGAACCGTGAGCCACGTCCCCAGACAGTTCCAGAGCTCAGGGAAGCCGCTATTGAAGAATGGGATAGGTTACCCCAGGAAATGCTGGATAACTTGATCCTCAGCATGCCCAGGAGGATCTTCGCATGTATTCGAGCCAGGGGAGGAGTTATTTTATATTGAATTCACACCTTTTAATAATAAATTGTTGTTTAAGTTTAATTAAACAGTCTTTTTCTTTCTATGAAATTTCTATCACTATTACATTATGATTAATGGCTCAATTTTTTAAAATAAATAATAAAAAATAGTTTTATATTTTAATTTCAAACAGGGTATTCCTATTTAAAGAAAGCATACAACATAGATTTTTTCTTGATAAAGTTAAATTTAAAGAATTATAGGAGCTTATGCTATTGATCGCAAACTTTTTTTGATGTGTGTATATGTGGGCCTGCATGCTGTAAGTGCTCAATGTTGAGACCATCATGCCCTGGAGACTTACCTCGTTTCATATTTTTAATTGCAAGTAAAACATTCTTACTAGATGTACATATAGGTTGCTTGGCGTGACAAGTCCACAGGAATCAAGTGGAGATTCGACCTTGAAATGGTCCTTAAAAAGTAAAGATCTCTTTGAATCCAGACATCAACGCTGTCTCATTGACGACGACGGAACTCTCCTGACTACAGCATCCTCTCACTGCGGCCGAGACACCCTTAGCCGTCAGCTTATCTGATCAGTCTCGTGAGTCTGTGAGACTGGCAGTGAGAAAATCCTCTCCTTGCACCCCTTATCCTTCCCACCTTCCGTCTGTTACCTTAGGTCGCATGGTAACAGGTTTCCTCTACCTATCTATATACGTATATATAGTAGTGTATGGTTAGGGCTAGGCTGTTAGGTAGGAACGTAGGGTTGTTTGTGATAAGTTACAGCTTTCCCTTACCATTTCATGTATATCCAGCTACCTTTAATTACACATACAGGACGATACTCAACAGTAAAACTCGTATCACAAATACTACACAAAGACAGAGATAAAGTTAGTTGGCTCTACACATATGTTAAAAGGTAAGCGACATGCCTGTCCATAACAGTTGCAATGCCACTCAGAGCTTTAAATCTCAAAGATTTTAGGGGTACTGCCACTGCGCCCGTCCCCCGGAAACATAAGTTAACAAGTCCCATGTGCCTGTAATTTCACCAGCAACCTTACCAAACCGGAAAGCAGTAATGCTCACATTGCTGCTTGGCGGCAGAAACAGGTAAGGTGGCAGTATTTCCCTGGACGAATCTTTCACGTGGAGTTTTACTGTTACTACTACAACATGTAAACTGTTGTTAGCTGTAATATGTATTTTATTTAATAAATGTTTCGTCGTCTTTACAACTTTTTTCAGTTTATCCTCGATGGCGTACGGACGAATTACAAACACCGAAAATTAACGAGACGCAGAGCAATGAATGCATATACAAAATTTCCATAGACGCACCTGCCTTTATCAGGGCCGACGTTTATAGAACTCTTGTGAGTTATTTGCCCCCTTTATACAGTCATTCTATCGCGCGTGATCGGGAGCGTACAGGATTGTGCGCGAGAAAGCCTGCACGCGCAATTGTGCGCGATTACCTGTTTGAAATTTTTTAAGGTAACGTCTTTCGCGCGCGATTGCTCGTGTTTGTTTTTGTTACAACGGAAAGAGCGTACGTGTAAAGGCTAATAACGCAGGGTATACCGCGTGAAATACAGGACTATGACTGCGTACATTATTATATTAGATATGTAATAGATAGTTACGTGCGTTATTGAGAGCTCTGTAAGTCTTTCGCGTATAATTAACCCGCAAGCTGCAAGTGAAGAATAATTTTAAATCATTCATGAAACAATGACAGTATGGAGATTTGTTAATCATTGATGGCTTAATTCCAGGAAAGCATGGGAGTCAAATTGGAGAACGAAACATTAGCCAATTTGCCAGAATATTATAGAATAGCCGACGATATCTTACGAGAGGAGATAGCAGCACACGACAAGGAGTCTATTATTGGACTTAGCGCCGGCAAGATTTGTTACGTACTGAAAATAAATGCATGAATAGTACTTTATTGCAGAGGCCGGGAAATAAGGGAATGCTGGTAGAGTACTAGCCACAAGGCCGAGCGTCTGCGTGGCCTTGTATTAGTATAAGTCAAGCAAGCAATTTAGCAGCCGTAGAGCTCCTTGTGAAAGAGTACGGCCAGGGAAGTACTGCCACCTTAGCTATTTCTGTCACCAAGCAGTAATGTCAGCATTACTGTGTTTCGGTTTAGAAGGGTAAGGGTACTGGTGGAATTACAGGTACATGGGACTTGTCAACTTATGTCTCAGGGTGACGGGCGCAGTGGCAGTGACCCTCAGAGTTTTGTAATTTAAAGCTCTGAGTGGCACTGCAACTGTTATGGACAGGCGTGTCGCTTACAATCAAGCGCACGACTTATTCATCCCGTCACTTGATATTGTTTAAAAAATTCCCCGTTCCCGCCGAGGCTTATACAGCGTTTTTCTCAAACAATAGTCTAATGTTGAATTTCACATATTTTGAGTTACAAGACTCTTATAATGCTAATAGCGATGTGTGAAATTTATAACTCTCTTATTAAGCTCTCTTTCCTTGAAACTTCGCTCTTGAAAAGTCGTCATTTTGCAGATGCGGCATGCCAAGAGTTCGAAATTAGTAATAATAATAATAATACTTATATGCTTTTGTAAGAAAACAATAAAAATTTATTAACCTCTTGATTGTCTGTACTATCTCAAATAGCTTTGGTCGATTCTGCATAGCAGTGAAAATATTAAATCACTTTGGAAAAAAAACTTAGGCCAAAAAAGTATATAGTAAAATTGAGGATTACTATAGGGTATGAAAACACTATTCCTAAAAATTTTCACGATAGAAAAAAAAACACAAACTTACCTCGAAATTTTACAAGAAAACGAAAAAGAAAGAAACTATTCAATAGGTAGGTACGACTAAAAAGTCGTTGAAAGACCAAGTACAAAGACACGACGCAA